CCAATCATGCCCCTATCAGACCTGCCAGCAAATGCGTTAGAAAGATCCAAATTGGAGAAAATGAAGAAGCAATTCGAGAGGCATGTCCTATGAGACCAATAGTCAGTCCTGAAAATATGGTAGTTCAATTAGATAGGGATGAATTTGCATATATAGATACAGACAAGGGAAGGGTAACTCAATATTGTGCTGAAAGCGAAAATGGAACAGTTCCTGCGTCTGAGAATTCATACGAGTTACCGTATTCTGGTATCTTAAAATTTAATCAGAATTGTAGGTATACTTTAGTGAACGGACCATTCAAGGAAATTCTACCCAAACTAGAAAACGTGGAGATAAACGCTGTAGAAGAAGTTCCAGCCTTTAAACCACAAAGTTCAGTGGCCGAAGATATTAGCGAACTCCAAATTCATTTCAGAGATCATGGGTACATTTATCTGATAGTGTCAGTAATACTATTGTCTATTATACTAATCAGTATCATGTATTTGTGTTTCGCAAAAATACGGTACGTTATCATTCGTCGACGCAGAAGAAATGCTAACATTATAGAAAGCGCAAATATTGAATTGATACCCTCCAGGAGTGCCCCATTGGCTCCTCAATACCCAAGATTGCAAATCAGCGCTTCAACAGGCTTAATGGCAATCAAGTAGTGTACAAGAACCACCCTTTGAAGGTCTTGAAGGCTCTACTAGATTTGGGATTAGGATTGTATGGTGTTTTAGGTTATGCTCAGTTGTGCTCTCATGCTTTTACCCAGCTTGGTTGTGTGTGTGTACACTTTACCATCTTTATGTGTGTGACAGCTTTATACTTGCTTATTTTGCTCCTTTGAAAAGGATCCCGAAGACCTGGACGAAGAGAAATGCCCAAATTGCTGTGGAAAGAAGAAAACAAAAAGAGAAAAAATTCAAGGAATGGAGGATCAACATATTTTTATTCATGTCCTCCTAACAACATCAACTCTCTAGTCGCGTCAAATATATACGCGTGAAAAATAACTAAACTTCTCCCACAGTATAAAAACTGGAGAGACTCCCACTACGAACCACCTGGCCAGAACCAGGTTGAGTGCGGCAAAAGGTGGGGTGACTAGAACAAATCTTCGCCAACACCCAAGCACGAAGGAGAGGCCAAGTCCACCTGGCGAGCAACTCTTCCCCGGACAGGGCTTCAGATCGGACCTGACGACAAAAAAGGGTCAAGCCAAAGCAAAACAAGCAAGCGGTAACAGACAATCACTGAAAGAGGACATCAAAGGCCTCACGGTGGCAAGAGAAGGAGCCTCAGTCATCTCCAATTCCTCAAACAAAGGATTCAGAACTGACTGAGGCGCCTCTTCCATTTGATTTTCTGCCTCTGATTCCCTCTAACAATTTAACCCAGCACACAAGAAGCACAGCAGTAGCAAAAGGCCCGAAAAACCCATTAGAAACATGGCTAACTTTCCACCACAAAAAACTACACACCTTCAATTTTATCCTTTTGCAACAGCAGATTGTTATTACTGCAAAGGGAGACCCAACCCCCAACACTCCAATTATCCAAACTAAAGCTTCCAGTAACCATTGTGGAAACTCTGCATGGATAACTGACCCATCAGGGAACCCCGCAGAAATATTCAATTGAGAAATAGACAAGTTTTTAGATTTCTAGATTGTTAATACTGCAAAGGGAGACCCAACTCCCAACACTCCAATTATCCAAACTAAAGCTTCCAGTAACCATTGTGGAAACTCTGCATGGATAACTGAGCCATCAGGGAACCCTGCAGAAATATTCAATTGAGAAATAGACAAGTTTTTAGATTCCTCTGCAATATCTGCCAGGGTCCCCCTAGTTGTCTTGGGAAGGGCCTCCTCTACTGGCACCACCTCCTCTAAAGGTACCATCCCCACTGTCTGCTCTAATTGGGTTTCAGGCTCAACAGTCACATCACTTTTATTAGCAACACTGATGTCTTGATCCTGGATGGTAGCAGTCTCTTCCTCCCAAGGTATTGTTGTAGGTTGACTTGTAGTGCTGATCCTTTGCTTGACTGGCACAGTTGATGAGGTCAGTGGTGTTGTTGATGAAGTCTTGTATGGTGAAGTTTTCTGAATAGGTTTTGAAATCCTGGACTCCTCCTTGACTGTTTTCTGTTTCTCTGAAAAAATGGAAAAGTTGGATTACTAGGCTCTATAGTGATATTTTGACAACTCACTTGTATGTTTGAAGAAACAATGACTCCAGGGTCTCACAATTTCTTCCATGCCAAGAGCTTTCCCTGAACAGAAGGTCCTATTGAACAGCCTAACTTCCTGAAAATTCACAAGAAAAAGAATCAAATACATGTTTACCTTTTATTTTCCAGGAAGAACTCACCTTCAGACCCTTATACCTGATGCAGTCCAAGTCCAGGGAGTCACCAACAAAGTCCACTTGAAACTTATGGAGAGCTGGTCTTCTGACTTCACAAATGTCCTCACAAGCAAGCCTGCCTCCCACTTCAGCACANAGTTATTTCTGCAGACGAAGTGATTCATGTTTCAAGGGTGCATGCAGTTCCCATAGCCAGAGAAACCTATTTAGGGTCCCCAAAGTGGTTGCAAGCAGAGATTAAACATCCAATTCTGTTAAAGAGAGGAAATCAGTATTACGCAGCCCATGGTACAGAAATACCCATGTGTCTTAGAAGAATAGGACATTCAGGTTGTCAAATTTGCAGAGCCAATCATGCCCCTATCAGACCTGCCAGCGAATGCGTTAGAAAGATCCAAATTGGAGAAAATGAAGAAGCAATTCAAGAGGCATGTCCTATGAGACCAATAGTCAGTCCTGAAAATATTGTAGTTCAGTTAGATAGGGACGAATTTGCGTATATAGATACGGACAAGGGAAGGGTAACTCAATATTGTGCTGAAAGTGAAAATGGAACAGTTCCTGCATCTGAGAATTCATACGAGTTACCATATTCTGGTATCTTAAAATTTAATCAGAATTGTAGATATACTTTAGTGAACTGACCATTCAAAGAAATTCTACCCAAACTAGAAAACGTGGAGATAAACGCTGTAGAAGAAGTTCCAGCTTTTAAACCACGAAGTTCAGTAGCTGAAGATATTAGCGAACTCCAAATTCATTTCAGAGATCATGGGTACATTTATCTAATAGTGTCAGTAGTACTATTGTCTATCATATTAATCAGTATCATGTACCTATGTTTCGCAAAAATACGGTACGTTATCATTCGAAGACGCAGAAGAAATGCCAACATTATAGAAAGCGCAAATATTGAATTGATACCCTCCAGGAGTGCTCCATTGGCTCCTCAATACCCAAGATTGCAAATCAGTGCTTCAACAGGTTTAATGGCGATCAAGTAATATACAAAGAACACCCCTTGAAGGTCTTGAAGGCTCTACTAGATTTGGGATTAGGATTGTATGGTATTCTTTGTTATGCTTAGTGTGCTTTTATGTTCTATCCAAACTCAGTTTGGTTGTGTGTACTTATACCTTACCACCTATATGTGTGTGACTGCCTTATACTTGCTTATTTTACTCCTTTGAAAGAGGATCCCAAATACCTGGATGAAGAGAAATGCCCGAAATTGCTGTGGAAAGATGAAAACAAAAAGAGAGAAAATCCAAGGAATGGAGGATCAACATATCTTTATTCATGTCCTCCTAACAACATCAATTCTCTAATTGCGTCGAATATTTGCGGGCAAAGACTAACTAGACTTCTCCCACAGTATAAAAACTGGAGAGGCTTCCACTACGAACAACCTGGCCAGAACCAGGTTGAGTGCAGCAAAAAGTGGGGTGGCTAGAACGAATCTTTGCCAACACCCAAGCACAAAGGAGGGGCCAAGTCCATCTGGTGAGCAACTCTTCCCCGGACAGGGCTTCGGATCGGACCTGATAACAAAAGAGGGTCAAGCCAAAGCAAACTCCTGCAAAATATCTCGAAAAGGCAAGATTTGTATTGGTGATTTTTTTTCTCGCGTAAAAAAAGCAAGCAAAAAATTAGTCTTTTTCTTGCACAATTTTTTTGCGCCGTTGAGAGTGGCAGCATTTTAGGATAAGTTTTTGTGAAATCGGTGTTGGCTCTTTTCTGGGAACATTTTTGCTTTCATCAGAGATTGTTATTGGGTCAATTTAAGTGCCGTTTGCGTTTCATCCTGAAAGGTTTTTGAGGTTCATTTTCCAGCGTACGAGTTCCTTTCTTTAAACGTAATTCAAATCAACTTGTCGATATTCGAATGTTTTTTTGAATGCTTTTCCGAGTTTACTTTACTTTCCCCCAAGACCACAAGCACGTGCTATCAAAGCTTTGCTTGCATACGCTTCTGTTGAGGAGTAAATGCTTTATTCGCAATTAAAAGGAAGAGTGCTTTTTCCGTCCTGCAAGAATCCGCGGTTATTTCTGATTACCAATTCTGTTTTCGAGGATTTTATTCTGCACTTTCCCCCCGTTTTGGTACAGTATATGCAAGCTGAGTTGTGAAAAGAACGATATAAAGAAGAGAAAGACGTGGAATTCTTCTCTCGCTGCATAAATATCGCGCAGAAATATTGCAAAACCGAAATCGAAGAGCGCCGGCGATTCCGCAATATATTTTCAAGTCCCTGCTTAATGATGCCATTGTCGTGCGCATTTTTCCTCCCCGTTGCTCAAGTACGTT